CAGCCAACTTACCATGTACCGCCTAGTAGCTTCCCCAGAGTCCAGCCGTGCGCCCACTGGGTGTGCTAGGGGCAATGGTGGTCGTACACCTCTTACCTCTTTGCGATGATAGCCCGCCCCTCGTCGTGTGCCTGCTCGTCGCTAACGAGCTGCTAGCCTGGCACCAGCGCATCCTGGCCAGCAGATCGGCGTCTTCTTCTTAAACCCAAGATCTTCCCCCTTTGTGTCGCAGTCCTGTTGTGCAGCTCCCTTCCCTCCTCATCCTTCCACTGACACTGGGGTGCTTGCAGTCATCACTATACATTACTTGTTTGCTGAGCTGAACACTGCTCCTCTTCGTTTCATCACCCACTGCCGACCATGGCCAACAACGGGTTCGTCCATGAGCCCGCGGCCGACGAAAAGGTCGCGCCGCTGCCTGGCTACAACGAAGCTGGCCATAACAATGCCAGCGCCGGTACCGTACAGGAGGAAGACTTCATGACCCGCAGCGGTCTGAATTTGAAGTCATTCCAGAAGCGCGATTATGGCCGTGGCATCGTCGAGCTGGACCGCGCCATGAAGGGTCGCCATTTGCACATGATTGCCATTGGTGGCTCCATTGGCGCTGGTTTCTTCGTCGGCTCTGGTGGCGCGCTGGCCTCTGGTGTGAGTATTGTTTCACTTTACTCAGCGCTCCCGAACGCAAGCTGACCCGCTCTAGGGCCCTGCCTCTGTTCTTCTTGGCTTCATGATTGTCGGCGTCATGATCTTCAACGTTGGTATGTCGCAGTCTTCCTACAGCATCGAAAGCTCACTCAGCTGATCAATTCCAGTCTTCGCTCTTGGTGAGCTAGCTGTAATGTATCCAGTATCTGGTGGCTTCTATACGTACTCGACTCGCTTTATTGACCCCTCGTGGGGTTTCGCCATGGGCTGGAACTATGTCTTCCAATGGGCTATCGTCTTACCCCTTGAGCTCACAGTATGCGGCCTCGTGGTCGCGTACTGGAACGACAATATCAGCGTAGCTGTCTGGATTACCGTCTTCCTCGTCGCTATCATCATTGTCAACATTTTTGGCAGTATTGGCTATGCCGAAGAAGAATTCTGGTCGTCTCTGCTGAAACTCGCGGCTATTGTCATCTTTATGATCATCGCTCTGGTCCTGGTTCTTGGCGGCGGCCCATCCAGCGGTCGCTACGATGAATATTACGGCGCGCGTCTCTGGTATGACCCAGGCGCTTTCCGTAACGGCTTTAAGGGCTTCTGTTCCGTCTTCGTGACGGCTGCCTTCTCCTTCTCTGGTACCGAGCTTGTTGGTCTTGCTGCCGCTGAGAGCAAGAACCCCGTTAAATCCCTGCCTGGCGCAATCAAGCAGGTTTTCTGGCGTATTACGCTCTTCTACATCCTCGGCCTCTTCTTTGTTGGCCTACTCATCCCATCTGACGACCCAAGCCTGCTGTCCGACTCGGCCTATTCAGACGTCAAGGCCTCGCCCTTTGTCCTTGTTGGTCTGTACGGCGGCCTGAAGGGATTCGACCATTTCATGAACTTCATTATTCTGGTGTCCGTTCTCTCTATCGGCGTCTCCGGTGTATACGGCGGTTCACGTACCCTGACTGCTCTGGCTCAGCAGGGCTACGCCCCCAAGATCTTTACTTACATTGATCGCTCCGGCCGCCCGCTGCCCTCAGTACTGGCCATCATCCTCTTTGGTCCGCTGGCTTACATCAACCTCAGCGCTTCTGGTCCCGACGTCTTCGCCTGGCTGCTTGCCCTCTCCGGTTTGGCCGCTGTCTTCACGTGGGGATCCATCTGCCTCGCTCATATTCGCTTCCGCAAGGCTTGGGCGTACCACGGCCACACTCTTGACGAGATTCCTTTCCACGCGGCTGGCGGTGTCTACGGATCGTGGCTGGGTCTCTTCCTTTGCTTCATTGTTCTTGCTGCCCAGGTACGTATATCGTCAAGATGCTACCCCTTTGTTAGACTCAAGACTAACTTCTATAGTTCTACACAGCTATCGCTCCCCCAGGCCAGTCGGCGCTCAACGATGCCGAAGGCTTTTTCAAGTCGTATCTTGCCCTGCCGGTCGTCATGCTCTTTTGGATCTGCGGCTTTCTGTGGAAGCGTACGGGCTGGTTGCGCACAGCGCAGATGGACGTGGACACTGGCCGTCGCGATCTCGACTGGGAAGCCATCCGCGAATATCGCGAACATCAGAAGTCGCTGCCCAAGTGGAGGCAAATTCTGAACCGGGTCATGTAAGAACGATCGCTCTGTTCTTGCCAGATCTAGGAGGATGCATGTTTGAGAAATCGAATCACTTGGCACATCGCCATCGCGTCGAGCCGATGTGTATCTCTGTATTTGTGTAATCATGTACTGCTTGATACCCTACCACTACAATGGACATTGTTCTGCTTTGATCTAAACGATGCCCGTCGTCTTTGTATGTATGATGGTGTCGAACGATACAACACCTCCCGGCTATTGTACCGTCATAATGTGGGCACATAGGTCATTTCGACTACTGGCAGTAGCCGAATAGTCGTCAAGAATGGTAGATACCAGGTTCTCGGAACTACGTTTAACCGAAACTTGGCAGCCACATCTATCGCGACTTGAGCAAACAGATTGACTTTCCACTTCTTGCGTCTTGTGCCATACACAAGCCTCAGCGAAGTATCCCCCGGGTAAGTGTGCTGTTTGACACGATTATGGCATGGAAGAGAGTATACTTAGTAGACAGGGGGCAGAGGCAGAAGTCTGTGTGAAGTCTTTTCAGCTTCCCAGGAGTTCCTAATAGTCGACGAGCATACCAGTCTGGCTTGCCATTGGCGTTGGACTAATGTACGAGACGAGCGCCAATTGTAAGGTGCAAACTCGGTGCATCCAATTCACGGTGTCAGTTCACAACAGGGTAGTCCTGCGTGGGGCAAAAGAACAACTACGGAGCTTCGTTTGTGATTTTCTGGAAGTGGACTCTCTGTCTGAACACAACAAGGACGCGGACGCGACATCGAGGCGTCATGGTTACGAGAGTCACGTGATCAGCTCAGTATCATTGATGCCAGTTCCTCCGTAGGAGTATCAGCGTGATTGAAGAAAAGGTTGTAGAGTTGGTCGCGGTGGAGCAATACTTATCTTTTTCCTCTTCCTCAACACTCTCAGAGCCGCGATATTGGGGCTTACGGCCGGCTATTGGCTATCTTCCACGCATAGATAAGCCCTAGGCTTTCTGTTATTGGGAACGCATGAGAGGTTAGCGACTGTAGTCGGTCACATGTTGGCAAGAGATCCTCAGTTATAGCCTCTGGTGCGAGGCTGAAGGTTCCTGAGAAGAATGTTAGCAGGCTTGCCAAGTCTGACACATCAAACGGGAACAGTTCAGCCAATCCAGGTGGCTCGACGTTGAGCATGGCGCGCCTGAGAGAACTTTATCTTGAACCAATAATACGATAGAGCCCTCCATACTTTACAGCCCTGCAAGAGGCCTTTTCAAGGAGCGGTCTAACTCTTTGCAGGGGCTGTGCGATGATGTCCTGTCTGTTACCGATGTGGAAGGGCGTGTTTTGAGGAGCTGGGACATTTTCGTCTCAAGTTTGGATCATCTCAATGCATCTGCGAAATAACTATTTCCCAGGGCATCGGTTTTGTCTAATGGAAAGTTGGCACAGAGATGCCTCTTCCTTGACTTTTATCGCCGTGTTCCCCAGACTGTCTGCTGCCTGTCTCCCTCTCTTCGATCGCGGGCGAGAGAGAGGTAGGTAGCGCCGCATTAATGCTCTGATGGTCGGGTGAAGTATTGTTGCATGCTGCCGCTTGAGATGGCCGTCGGCATTGTCGTTCAATCGGAAAGACGTTTCGGCAACCGCAGGAAGATTCGTCGAGGTATTCGATCACTATGTAGAGCACGTGGGACTCGTGGACTCGAGCTGTTGTATGCTGAATAATGTTCCAACAGGTAGTCTTCGGTGCGAAATCTTTGCCAGTGGCACTTCACGGCAGTACACGACAACTCGTTTCGTCTTTTCCTCTTGTTCGCTGTTTTCAGGGTAGCCGGGCGGTTCACCACGGACACGGCATGTCCGTTTCAATTTCGATGTTCGGTTCCACTAGCTGGCAAGAAAGACGGCCGCTCATAATCAAGAGCCGTTGAATGAGGAATCTTTGGGACCTGGAACTCTTTGGACGAAATTGGCGCAAATGTGGTAGTTGTGAATTTGTCGGAAGCGAAGAATTCGGGAGGCGGGGATTCGGGAGAAACGGAGGCATCATGCAGACAGCATGCCGATTGAGGCAGCATCTGACACAATTCTTCTGAATTTCTGTTTCTCTGTAAACTAATCGAGTTCGGAACGGGGTTGAGGTCTGAAGCCTGCTGAGTATGCGAGGGGTCCAACAGATCGACTCAGGTTGTGCGCCATCTCTGAGCCCATGGTGAGCATGGGCAAAAGACAACATGCATCTCTCGTAGCTGGAACGTCATAATCAGACATGATTTGGAATTAGCATGCAAAGGTGTGGAGAGAAGATTTATGTGATGGGGATGAGAGTGTTGCAAAGGAAAAAAGTGTGGCCCTTGGAAGGTAGGAGATACGTCGAAGCACATTGGGCTAAAGCGGGCGGACCAAGGCCCGACACAAGTACGAATAGGTAGCATAGCAGGTAGTAGTAATGACAATACGGTAATCCAGTACGTGAAATTGTAGACCAACCATTTTCACAATATGCTTAGTCTCAATGCTATTTGATCTCAGACGAACTCGGATGACGCACTGAGAGTCCCTGCCAAAAAGCACACAAGGTTTTTTTATCCTCTCGAGTCCACCGCCTTCATTGGTCTTGTATCGGCGTCTTGAGAAGACTGTCTTCGCTCTTGGTGTAGGTATGTTAGATGAGCGACTTGGGGCTACACTACGAAGATTGACGGAGTTGGTTCCGTCCTGTTGACGGAGGTGGCCCCTGACTACAACGGTATCAAAGTCAATGCCTTGTGGTAGTGGATGGTGGTCCGTGCTCGGACAGAAAGGGTTCAGGCTTCGACGAGCTCAACAGTGGACGATCTTGCCGACGGTTTCGGCTGGGGGTTTAGGTACCGAGTACAGGGCTGATGACCAGGAGGCCAATGACAACCGAGAAACGGCATCAACCAAGGGTTCTGAAAACGGTTCCATCTCCAAGTGCTAAGCGTTAGACACACTCTACCAAGCAGCAACCGCCGCTGGCATCCCTGTTTGTAGACGGACAGGTAGGAGGCAGGCGAGCGGGGTTCGTTGGAAAGACTGGACGACTCGCCCTGCTCCCTGTCCACGACGCCACCTACCCAGCCCGAGGAGCCTGGGCCCTTCTGGGTCGTCCCACGTCCTGCCCAGAAGGTCACCCACCCATCGGGCAATGAATTGTACAGGTAAAGCTACAGTGACCACGTCCTGATTCCAGGTCAGTCGATGTGCCGGATCATCCTGCTGTTCCATGTGGGATGCAAGTTGGCGGTGCTCTTTCGCCATGCTATCCCTCTGTGCCCGCTTCTAGGTACGGCCGGCTAGGTATGATGCGCAGCCCCCCCGCCTCCCCGGTGAGTTATGTCCTGTCTCTCCTTGCGGCTCAGAAGACTATATGAGGAGGTATGCGCGTCCCGTGCTTACCAGGCTTTGGAGCAAACATTCCTTTTCTGATGCCCTCCTCCCAGACGCGCGCCATCTCCATCTCCGAGTTCTTGTTTTAACATCCATAGCAGTCGAGACGCTAACGTGGCCTTCCTGCCTGCGATATCTCCTACCGCTCATCGGTTGCGCCCGCTTCCCCTCGCTAGTCTCCCATGCTTCAAGCTCTGAGACCCTGACCTTGAGATTGTGTCCTGCACCTGTTTGAAGCTATCTGACTGCCGTGCATCTGCTGCCAGTCAGTTACCCATCAAATCATCCTCGCCTCGCAACTCCTCCAAGTATTTCGCTTCTCAACTTAGGACTGCTTCTCTTGTCAGGCCTCATATTTAGGCCAAACTTGGAATCGTGTCCGCTTGTTGGGTGGGAGAAAGATGGATGAGCCTGGTGGAGACACCCTACTGTTCACACAGCCCGCAGCACCAGTGGCCCCCCTGACACGCAAGGGCAAACCCAGGCCCAAGAACAAGACTCTGTCAGACACAAGACCAGGGGCGCCTCGAGAGGTGGATGTAGACGCCTTCGCGCTTGGTGTCCCTTCTTCTAACTCCTCCTCTGAGTTCAATCTGGATGGACAAACCCTCATGCATGAGGATGCCTCGGACGGGGTTCAAGTCACACAACCTCCTGGACTCACGACAGACACCCCACGCAGTCAGCCAAAGCGACGCGGCCGGCCTCCGAAAGTAGCATCAGATCGCCAACACAGATCCAGCGCTCCGATGGCAGTAGCACCACGACCATCGGCTGATCGTCGCCCTTCAGCATCCTCCGTCGACTCTTTTCACTCCACCCACGTCGACGGGATTTCAAGCACTCTCGAGAAGAAGACGCGCCTTCGCGCCCGCAACCGAGAGGCTGCGCACAAGTGTCGCGTACGCAAGCAACGCGGCATCGAAGACCTGCAGACACAAGAGGCGGCCATCGGTGCCGTCAACCAGAACCTCAAAAACCAGTATGCCGAGCTACGCAGTGAAGTCATCCTGCTTAAGGACATGGTACTCCAGCACAGTGGCTGCGGCTGCTCTTTTATCGAGAGTTACATTGAAGACGCTGCCGCCACTTTATCGCAGAGATCTGACAGCTTCACTACAAATCGGCATGGCTCTTCCAGCAGCGGCATCTCCCCGGCCGCCAGTTGGTCGCCTGCATCTACACAGGGAGCAGGATCGACTGGATTTGCGACTTTGGAGGACGGGAATAGTCGTCCTCCACAATACGACTGGGACGTAGCAGAAGCGTCAATGCCGTACCATGAAGTGGTACAGATGGGAAACTTTCCCAACACATACAACGGGAACAACCAAGGATTGGTATTGAACGACATTGCGCACTGGATGGGACCTTCTGATTCAGGGTAACACGCAAGTTTCTTGCTTTGGTACGGACAGGAGTTCTTGTATTCTAACGGAATGTAAGGAGGGTTTACGCCTGGGTCATGATCATTATTACGCGTAGGAGTTGATGGGATGCGCCGCTTTCTTTCACGAGAAGCTAGGAAAATGGTTCAAGTCTTCGTTGTACTTTTTTCGTCTTGTTGCACAGCTGAAGATGCCACAACGTTGGCATTTCTGGAAATTGTAACGACGACTTTTACACTACCTACTTCGCGATGCAATTCGGTACAAGAGCATGTTAACGCCCCCGATTCTCATCGACATTGTAATGAAGATTAGGTGAACGGGTTAGAACTTCGGGAATTACCACTAGTGGCATCTGACAGGCTATGGCTGCACCGACAAGGCTGTTAAGGCAGCCGCCACGCGCAGACCACGTCCCATGGATCACGATCCGAGTTGATCCGGAGATGCTGGCAAGAGTCTCGCTGTTTCTAACAATCACCCGAACCAACCTGACTGGGGAGGCTCTTCCTCAAGACCCGAGACACAGCGATGCGTGGGTAACAAATGGCAACGGACTAAGCTCCGACGGTGTCGGTACTGTTTTTGTGAGAGCTGAGCGGGGGCGATATTGCAACCTAGCGAAGTATCTATACATGCTAATTTTCAAGCGTCAAGGGTGTGGTCTGCGGGCATAGCTCGGCGTTGAATCAAGTAGAATCATGGTGAATATTATGAGGAGATGCTCTCAACCTCCTACGTCAGTGCTCTGCGCCTTGTCCTACGTTGAAGACGAACATTGTGCCTCCTTTGGGTCTTCCTTCTTTCTCATATGGCTCACAGTTGGCCTCGCGCCACCGGCAATGAGACTTCCAACATCATGATTGTACATTCTCAACTGTGGCGTCATGGATTACGCCATCACCGGCACGATCGTTTGTCCCGAGATGAAGAGAATGAACGTGGCAGAAAGGCTTCATACTTCAAAATAAACATGATCAGAATTGCAGAGCTACGTTGTCACACCTGCCTTATCTGCTACCCATAAATCGCAAAATAAGATACCCGGACACACCAAGCCGGCAGGGTTCCCCGCCCATGCCTCCATCAGATCTAATACAATCGCAGTGACCAACCAGTATAATGTGTTGGGGGTCAAGGGTCTGAGAAAGGTGTAGTTTCATTAGGAAGCTATTCTGTAGGCAGGAGGGTGCCTGGAACTAAGCCATGGGACCTGCCAGGGCACAAGCCACCTGGCAACAGGTGAATGGCACTAAGTGAATGCCCTGGAAGCCCCAGGTGAATACCGCCAACATACCTAATGTAGCACACTAAAAGCAAAGAAATAAAAATTTCACGGGAAGTCCATGTGGGCAGCAATCTGCCCAACTGTCATTATCGCCTAGGTAGCTCTTCATTCACCCAGCACGGGCGAATCACGCGGACAAGAAGAATAGTGCGTGAAAGGAGGGGCAACTCTAGCCCCCTGGATATGACCCATGCCATCAGATGTCTCTATACAGGCATTGCGCCAGGGACAAATCCTGGTTTCATCCGTGATGGTGTGATGCACCCGCATGTATCTGGGTCCGTGGATGACTTCTGTGCGGACACGATCGACACACAAGCTTCTACTTGAAATCAGCGTTTCCAGTGTCACTCCGGGATATACTGATCGGAATTAGAAGATTGACCGTGGAACAGTGTTGCGTCGAGCACTGATAACTGAACAGCGGGTTGAAGCACAGCGGGGGTGTATAGTTTTCTCACAATAATTCGAGGAGTTTGCTCCCTTTATAGTGAAAGCGTGGAGCCCACCATAAATGCGAAAGCTCACCATTCCCATCACCACAGTTCACTACCAAGCGGGACCTGCGTAACGGAGATGGTTCCGGTGAAGTAATAGGATTTTAGGACTTGCCATTGATGCCGAGTCGCCTTTGTGACATGATTATTTCTTGCATGCAACCTTCACATGACATGGCCCCTTGTGTACCTTTCCTAGCGAACCATGTCACAACCATGAACTCTTGACATTACCAAGGGCATAACGCGATCTTCCAAGGCGCATATTCCAATGGCTATGTAATTCGTTCCAGACTCCACAGAAATCAGGCCACCCACGCTTTGGAACGGATCGAGCTTTTGCTTCTGAGAATGTTATAGATGATCAGACTACCCCTCATCAGGGAGATCATAGCCGCCATTAGACGGAAGTCTCATGAGTAATTCTGTAATCTGAAGGGGGCCTGGTCGCTTCCCGAGGCCTTTTTATTTTATTTTTTTTCTCGGAAATGCTTGCAGAAGTTTCAAAATTTACAACGGCACGACTGAATGGCTGGTTATACAATCCCCAGTGCGAGAAATGAGAGAATTGTCCGACTCTGACAACTGGTCGGACCTCACTCCGATGCCCAGCGGACCTTGCTCCGGTTTCCACCACAATACCAACTAAGCTCCAGACGACGTGGTGGCACCGAAGCTCCGCCCACCTTAGTGATTACTGAAAGCGTCACTGAGATGAGGGGGGCAGGTATCAACAGTTGAAAGACGCCCTTCAGATCATATTCAATCAACGGTGCTCTTTACGTCCGCTGAAAAATTTCTCCAGCAGATGATTGGCGAATGCTTTACAGGCGCATCGACAATCTAACCCCCTAGCCCGCCACCACGGTCCTAGAAGAACATGTACAGATGGTCAGGATTGCGAGAAAGTTCATTCTTTTACTCTCGAAAGCGATTGAGGATGGAATCCATGATGCCTGAAAAGGTGAGGGGCACGATACAAACATGAACGGCCAAGTCAAAGGCCGTCCATAATGAGCACGAGTATACCAGCAACCTAATCTATCCCCTTTGCCAGTCTGCCCCCCCTCAGCTTTGTACGCCATCAGGAAGAAAGCACTCAGAACACAAAGCCCTCGGGCTCCCACCTCGGCAAAAACCACCCATTCGACCCCCAATTTAATTACACCTGAATTAAATAACGCTAGAACATCTCCGAAGATAACCCTTGATTACTCCGAGGGTACGGCCCTTCGGTGTTGAGTGGCCTCGAAGCCATTATTGTCCTATGGCTTGTGCAAGCTGCACCCGAGTACCCCTGATCCGACAGCCGTAAGCCCTCGTCGCGTCTTTTCCGCCGCACCAAGATTCGTTCAGTAATCGTGTCACTTATTTATCGAGTGTGCCTCTACCTTGGGCGGGGCAGTGAGAACTTGATGATACTCGTTGTTACGCCAACTGTCGGTTTCCTTGGCGGCGGCCTTGCAGGATCCGGACGGGGTCGACGAAGAAAGAGTATCTCAACCAGATCGAGGTCAGAATTATCTCAAGTAGAATCGTGTAACGGTTCCAGGGTACCTCTCTCGGATGGTCATGACGACGAGAAGCATGGAAAAACCCTGGCGTGCTACCGATGTGACCCATGCGCGAACGAAACGCATGATCACAGTAGCACCAGACTATGGACCGCAAACGACGTCAAGCAGCATCATGATATCACAGCCTTTCATCTCATTGGCTTGCCAAATTTATTCCACCTGCGGTGCCTGGGGGGCTAGCCTGGTTGTGCGGGTGGTGCGGCGTTGGGACCCTTGTCATCGCTGGCGGACAAGCGTTATAAACGTGACATAGACGCGTCACTTGATTATAGGTACCTGGCGCCGTGTGATACGGTTCATCGGATCTTTCCCACTGAAGGAACCTGATGCAGAAGGCACGCGGCTCCCAGCGACAGTAGGTGGTTTCATGTTGGGACAACACCAACAACTAAACTACTGACAGCTTGGTCCAGCACCTAGCACTCTACTAAATAGTGACACGCACCCTCAAGTATATCCAGATGTCTTATTTCATCTTGGCAGACACTGTGAACGTGATCGCCCGCACTCTACACCCTATATCTAACCCCAGCTTACGCCTTCGGCGCTGTCAGAACCCACAGGTCGTACTTCGGCTCCCGGGGAGCTGCGCATCGCGACTCATCTCATTAGTCGAAGATTGCCATACGAAGCCTGGTGTACTGAATCATATCGAAGAACAATTTACAGCAAGCAGTGGCGTGCATAGGGCGGCGTCCCGCCAACACACTGGGGGCAGAAGCGAAGAAATTAGCAAGCGACCATCGAAAACTCAAAAAAGTATCGAGAATATATAGCAGCAAACTCTGCTTGCTGGTGAGCTCATTCGACAGGTGAATGAAAGCCTTGGTCTGCTCAAACGTCACATACCACACGTGTTCGACTGTCATTTCTTCGCTGTGTGTCACATCAGGTAGTGAAAAGTTGGACAGGCTCTCACATTGTGCCTTTTGTTGTCAAGTGAAGGACCTTCTTCGTAGTAAGACAGGTGCTCGAATGCAAACAAGGATAGCAACCGGGCAGGTCACAGTTTGGGCCTGTAGATTTCTCATTTGGCCAAACACCAAGCTTAGGGATGAGTAGTTATCCCATCAAAGTCGAATGCTTGCGCCGAGAGAAGATCATTCATTCCTGGCGTGAGACTGGCTCAGTATCTGCCTGAGAAATTCCGTAGCTAGCCGCGTCAAGTGTCGCGTGAAGAGGATGATTGTGAAGTATTGGCATACAGTTGGTCCTTTCCAAGGGGAAGGAGTATTGTCGGAAAATGTCACGCACATGGTGAGGACATTTCCTTTTCCGGGCCTAGCGCCATTCAGTCAAGGTAGCAAAATCGCTAAATGGAGTCTTTGCGGATTCAACCTCTGCCATGAGCGTGCCGCATAACTCGTCGGACAGTATGCACAGGAAGCGGTGTATGGGCGACATTACGAAACACACGATTTGCTATAAACGATCTACGAACGCTTTGTTTAATACATTTAAAAACCGAGCAACGCCTCGCCAAATCCACATGACTTAAAAGTCAATCGTCATTGCCTCCCCAAATTCTAATAACGCCTAATGTTTGACGCCTACTGGACCCATGAGTCCCATTCTTCCGAACATGCTGCTTGCTTTCTTCTTCATCAAGCCAGGCCCGCTACTCCCCTTGGCCTCTGTCAAGCCGCTGTTGCTCCGTCCAAACAAGTGCCCTTGTTTGACTCCGGGCGTCACAGGGCTTACTGTGTTGGCGGTGCCTACAAGAGATCGGGGCCCGCGGCTCATCGGCATTCCAACATCCTCCTCTTCGTCGCTTTCGCTCGTTCCCGTTGTCAAGCTTTCCATGCTGCTTCCACTGTCGTCTCGTTCCATGATAAGCGACAGTGGCTGCGGTCCGGGTCTGTTCTTGTAGTGTTCAAACAGTTGCTCCTCATCTAGCTCAATCTCGTCGCCGTCCATCTCAGCCACCGGATCTGCAGCTGCTGCAGAGGTCGCCTCGTGTATGGGTTGGGGCCGGGCTCCCAATTGCGAGGGCGGGTTCAGGTGCGGGTGTGTTATTTTCAGGGCAAGAGACTCCGTGGAGCTGTCACTAGCAGAGCGCCCATGGCCCTTTTCTTTCATGACGTTGCTAGTCAATCGGGCGCAAGCTCTTCCCGATGGCAGCTGGGCTACGATGCGTGGCGGCAAGGCGCTTCTTGACACCATCTCGACTATCGCGAATCTTGCGTGCGACGAGCTCAAACTGCGCCATCATTGTGGGGTTCGCAATGATCTCCTCCATGCTGATCTGAACTTCATCCAGACCAGCTATGCCGATGCGCGGCAGCTCACGCGTCAGGTACTCGGCAAGCTGTGACGCGGGAATAAGACTGCCCCATAAGTCGAAGAAGGCAGCATTGTGCAGCTGCTTTTCTGGCACGCCGAGTGAGCGCGGATCAAGAATCTTAGTCCAGGCTGTGGCGACGACGGATTGGATAGCAAAAGACAGATCGGTTGGCAGCCCTGCGCTTGATTGGGTTTGAATGGCATCGAAGTCAGGTTGAGGCAAAGGCAGTTGTGGGCGCATCGTTGCAAAGTCAGTCGCTGATGGAATCAGGGGGTGCATCATCGACACAGAGGTAAGAAGCTCGATTGTCGACACCAAATACTTGAGTGTCTCGTCGGCAAATGTCTTAGGGATGCGGTTCTCACAGAACGTGAGCGCAATCTCGGCCCGCGTCGGGCTTGGCAGGCTAGAGGTGACAAGTAGGTCGTGCAAATCCCTAAAGGGAGACTCCTGTACAACAAGCTTGCATGATGCGTTCCCAAGCTTGAAGTCAGTCGGCTGCTTCTTGTCTTCGGTCGGTTGGTGGTACACCGCAGTGCTGAAGGGCGTCCAGAGAGGGATCTTCGGCGAGTTCTCCACCACAGCCCTCCAGTCCATGTTTCCAAAGGATTTAACAAGTGCTCTCTGTCCATGAATCGTCTGGAGGATGTCCATCGGGGTGCAGTAGGCGTCGCCGAAACGGACACGAACCGGGAGTGTGTTACCTGTAGGGCCAACTACACCTGATACACTGCTGCCGTCGGCAAGCCGCAGTTGGCGACCATCGACAATCTCACCGAAAAGCACATCTCCGGACGCGGACAGGTTTGCAAGCACAATGGCCCATGCTGCCTTGACGACTGTGTCCAAGGTCATTCCGAGACCAGACAGCGACGTTATTGACACCTTCTCCCGGATAGTCCTTACAGACGTACTCAGGGGTGCAGGCGCATCGCGGGGCACGACCTGGGTCATCTCGGCATTCTCAAGCAACGAGGCCCAATGCTTCATTGCGCTCTCTCTGTTGGAAGTCTGCGCCAACCTGATGAATTCGAAGTGTGTAGGCCTCCTGGGTGGTTTTTCTGTAGCAGTATAAAGTCTTTTGAGGTCATGGATCAGTATGGGAATCGACGCTTCGTCGCACTGCGCCTTTGACAACCGTATGATCAAGGTCGACTGGTGACCAGAATCAACATGAATGAATCGGGTAATAGGCTTTCCAAGAGTCAAAGGCTCTTCCTGATCCTTCTTGATCAGCTTGGCTGTGAGACCCGATAGTCTCCAACTTGGGCACTGGAGTTTTTTGAAGTCCGGGCCGGACGACCGCACTGCTACCTGATACACCTTGCGCTCATGGGAAATAAAGACGGAGCGCAGAATCGGATGGATCATGCAGAGGCCAAAGCACGCAGACTCAAGCTTCTTGACGCTCTGAAGTCGGGCAATGTTTAGAGTGATGTATGTGACATCGCCACGGTCTTTCATCATGCCGAGCTCGAGGGATCTGACTTGAGCGGGGAAAGCTTCGCACACGTCTTTGATGGCTTTTCGCTCCACCCCAAGCTGGGGAATAATGACTTCTTCAATGAAGGTCTCGTCCAGGAGAGTGCCTGACGAAGTATCCAGAGATCGCCGCGAAGGCAATAAATCGACGTTGAGCATGGCTTCAGAACTCAAGGTGACGCTTTGGCATAGCTCTGTGAGGGAAGCCCCCCTCAGTACGTCGGTGATGTGGATTGACATGCCGGCTCGGTTGCACGTAACGGCTAGCTTGGCGGCGAGATACGTGCCGCCGCCGAGCTTGACGAAGGTCTGTTTGCCATCAATAGCATCTTCGCTGATGTCAAGGAGGTCAGCCCAGATGGACCGCATGTGTTCTTCGACTTGTGTTAGTGGGAGGGGCTTCATGCGAACGCTGCTGTCTAGATGCGCGGGTGAGGTTCCAGAGATGGCCGCGAGTTGTTCCTCCGTCAGATCCTTAACCATTTTCTGTAACTTGCGGCGATTGATCTTCATAGCGGTCGTCACAGGCAGCCGCTTGACGGGTATGTATACTCTGGGAACCATGTGCGTGGGGAATATATCTCGCAATGACGGGTTCGCAACCTTCTTGGCGGAGAAAACGCGTTCGCGCGTCACCGCGTTCAGATGAGTGAGTTCTTCTGATCCATCCCACGACTTTTCAAGCTGCACAAAGGCTGCCAGTAACTGGGTGCCGTCCTTGCAGACGACGGCTTCAACAGCTACATCAACACCTTGTCCGAGGCAGCGACGGAGTTCCTGTTCGATCTTTGCGGACTCCACAACCTTGCCGTCCACAGCCATGTCCTGGTGGGAGCTGGGAAGGAGTTCGATGCTTCCGTCTTCCATGTACCGCACTCTCTGGCTGGTCTTGACATAGCGAACCATCTGGCGCCCATCCTCGGCTTGCTCCAACTTCTGCGTCAATGGCTTGAGGGGCTGACCGTGGACAAACTTTTGAGCGATAATTGGACTCTCGATGCATAGTTCCCCAATGGCCCCATTGGGCACGAGCTTGCTCGCATCTTCGGGGTTGGCGATCCAAAACTTGCCAAGGAAAGGTTGCGCTACGCGCTGTAGGTCTTCGCGTTTGCTGGCCTCGAAAGCCGAGATGCCAAGAGGGCAGATCTCGAGGCAGCCGTAGACCAGGAGTAACTTGGTATGCTCCATCCAGGGGCCACAGGTGTCTTCGTCAAGTCCACGGGTTCGAAAGCAGGTGGTCTTGAGCGACGGAAGTTTGACGGGGTTGAGCCGCCTAGCAAGAATCGGCGTCAGATAGGTCCAGGTGACGGCCATTCGTCGGATCGCACCATCAACATCTCGCTTGCGCTCTGTTGGAGACGGGATGCAGATGCAGCCACCGTGAATTAGGGTTGCGAGCGTCTCAACAAGTGCGGTGTCAATGCTAAAAGATGATAGTTGCAGCACGCGACTTTCTTGGTCGATGTTCAGAGCCGAACCCTGGGCAAGGAAGGCTGATGAAAGGGCAGTGTGAGAGTAGGCGAAGCCACGGAGTTCTTTCATTCGACTGGAGCCGGCGGGGAACAGAATACACGCAACATCATCGCCCGATGCTTTGCGTGTCGGCGAGTCAGCTTGCAGGTGGGTTGAGAATAATGATTCGTTAACAACAATGACGCTGTCATTGAAGAGGTGCAGCTTCGATCCTATCAATTCGGTGACGAGGATGACCTGTGGGTTGACCTGCTTGATCACGGCCTCGACCATGCCGCTGTCTTCACCGTCGACCGGAACGATGCATCCGCCAGCCCTAGGTTTCGTCAGCTTGAGTACAAAGGACAGCGAGGGCATAGAATGCATTACTTGAGCACAGCGAGCATGCTCACAATCGACCACCTTGTCTTTCCCAGGACTAAAGGCACAGCGACGCCAGGTCTGACGCCCCATTGCATGAGATATGAGGCTAGCCGTTGCACCAGGCGCGCTAATGACCGGTATGAGAAATCGCCATCTCCGGCGCAAACTGCCGGAGCCTCTGGAGATGTTCTTGCACGATTCGAGAAGAGGCTGTGGATGCACGGCTCGAGTAACTCAACCCGTTCGGAACCCAGTAACGCATTGTTTTTCTCCATTGACAAGTCTAGCCCGCCAATCGAGACAAGGGGGCTGTTGACAATGGCCTTCACAGCCTGGAAAAACGACATGGTGACGCTCCAGGATTGCTGGCTTGAGAGAATACGGTCTGAGACGCTACAAGCTAGGTTTCCGTCCACAAACAAGGCCACGATGGAGATGTCGTGTTCCGAGGAATCGAAAGACTGTACGCACTTCAGATCCATCTGCGGGCGCGTGCTGCTGAAGCGACTCTTTAGCACAGGCGGCTCTTCCATGTACGTGAAGCAGCTGTTGAAGAGCGTCTCGCCCTTGAGGCCAAGAGCATGCTCAATCTCGGAAGCTCCGATATGTTCATGAGCGAGACAAGATGCAAAATCCTCTTCGGCATCACGAACAATTGCCTCAATGGATTGGTAAGCCCATAAGTCCATAGCACAAGGAATGGTGTTTGCGAAACAACCGATGGATTGCTGGAGACCATTCGGTGCGTCGTTGTCACTGCGTCCTGTGGTTCGGTAGCCAAAGCACACACGACTTGAACCCGTGAATGCGCGGAGCACAAGGGCCCAGCCAAGGCGTAGGACAGTTGCGCGGCTGACGGCATAATTACGGCAGAAATCATCAAGTTGAATGGAGGAAATTTCAAGGTGATGATGTGTCTCTTGAACCGTCATATCCGCGGCCGGTCGGAGGCGAGGGAAATGGCACGGTGGCATCTCCTTCAGTCGATTTTGCCAGAAGAGGAGACTGTCATCCCGACGAGCTGTCTCGAGATACTGTACGCAGGCACTTCGGGAAGGGTCTTGCACCTTCATTGGTGTCTTACCCGAGTTGTATATCCTCCTGAGATCTGCGACGAGAAGCTGCATGCTGAACATGTCGCACAGAGCCTGGCTGGCCTCCAGTTTGATATATGTGCCTTGGTTGGAGTTACAGACCGAAAGTCGATGGCGGGGTTGAGCTGGGTTGGTTGGAAAATCGGGCAAATTCTTGAGGGCCGAGATGGGATCGTCTCCGGGCGCTGCGTCGAAGAACAGCATGTTGGGTGAGCATTGGCGAAGGACGACCTGGTCAAACAGCCCATCTAAGGAGATACTGTCGATGAAGACGGTCCGAAGTGCCGGGAACTTGGCGACAATCTGCTGCCAGACGGAACAGATGTGCGACTGGTCAGCTTGCGTACCGTTCAGCAGGGTGAGCTCGTAGAGGTTGGTGCTGTAGCATGTCTCGAGGGACAAGGTCTGGCTGATCAGGATTTGCTGCTGAGTAGCCGTGACGGGGTATACGTCTTCAATATCGCGTGCACTCGAGAGACCAAGTGCCACAAGTCTGTCGGTATTCAACTTGGTTAGGCCCGCGTAGTCGGTGTTGAGTAGGGGCACGTCAGCGAGGGTGAGTTCCTGGGCCCTGTAGCGTAGCCTGCCGACTGCCTCGTATAGGAGATGCTCGAATGTCTGGATCCAGTCTCCGATTCTTTCTTGATGACTCGACAACCTGTTATACACAAAGTCGACCTTGGCACAACCGCTGTCATCTGTAGACATGGACACCTCAAAGAGAGCCATCCTACTAACCTCGTGTCCAAAGTTGGAGACGGACGTCCCTACAGAAGGTCCAGGAATGGGAACCTGTTCCAAGGCGCCGTTCTCCCTCTCGAGCTGGCGCAATGAACCATTGTAACCAAACATGATCTCGAAAGGCCAACCTTCTGCGCAGCGCGTAGGTGCGTAGGCCCCAAAGTAACGGGAGGCGAAATAGTCCCAGCCGCGGTGGGCCAGGGATCGCCGTGTGTCCTTCAAGTCACGCAGGACGTGGAGAAAGTCCTCGCTGTTGGTCGACCGGAGACCTATCGGGCACAGCGAGGCGAACCAGCCAACTGTCTCGGTAATGTCTACGTCGGTGTTCCAGGGTTCGCGGCCGTGTTCCTTGTTCCAGATTGTCGGCGATGGTCGATCTGGGAAGGTCTGGCAGAAAGAGAGGTGGAGAGCCGTCATGTAGATGTCAGCAGAATCCGTCCGGAAGACTTGATTGCAAGTTGTATGCAGAATCGAAGTCAGTTCGGCGCTGATGGAGAAACTGATTTCATGGGCCTCGCCATACGTGTTGAGCGACTCCTCGAGTCCCCAGTAGGCAAAGTCACAGCTGACGGGGTCAAATGGTAAAGGCGACGCCTCACCTGTACGGGTAACCTCGTCCTCCTGAAGTTCGTTCCATGTCTGAAAAGGCATGGACCTCTCGGAGAAGAGCGTGCCCTCTCTAAGTAATTCGTCAAGATCATGAATGAGGATCCTCCAGGAGAGTTGGTCGATGACGAGATGGTGGGCCACGAGGTAAATCAACTGCTGACCGTCAGGCGTGCGAAAGTGCTCGACGGCGAAAACGGGTCCATTCTCGATATTGATCTGGGTTTGGGCCTTCTCAATGATCATGAATACATCACCGTAATCGTTCACGTGGTGGTAGCCAAAGCCATACGAACCCTGAACATCAGGAATGATCCGTTGAGTCCATGCATCGTCTTCGCAGCGAAAGCGACAACGCAACATCGAATGATGCGCCACGACGGTTTCCATGGCGGCATGGATATCCTCGAGACTGACATTGCTTGTGATGCGAAGCAACAGACTTTGGTTGAAGCGATAGCTGCCGTCGGTTCGCGTACGCATCTCGTTGCGGCCGCCTGTTGCCGTGTCGAAATAGAGCTGCTGCATGGGCGACAGCTTGAAGCCCTCGAGTGACTCTTCACTCCAATGGTTACCGACGGCGACCTTGTAGGACGCGAGCGAAGCCATTTGAGATAGTGTAGCGCTCTGCATAATGTCCTCTGGTCGAAGGGAGACACCTTGAGTGCGGCATGCGGCGACGAGCAGCATAGTCGATACTTCATCGCCGCCAAGTTGGGGGAAGGAGAAGTTCATGCCTATTTCGCGCTCAGGTATCCTAAGAACGCGAGCGACAGCTTTCTGGACAGTGCGCTCCATGTCTGTCAGAGGCTCCTGGAACAACTTGTCCGATTCGAGGCTCGTAACTTGCTTGTACATGCTCTCGTTCATGTTCTGGACCCAGGTTTGGAGTTTCCTCCGGTCGACAATTCCATCGGCGGTGACTGGCATTTGATCGAGAACAATCCAGTTGCTGGGTAGCGTGATATCGCTTGCCGTCTGTTCAAGAGCGAGGCGGATGGCGGCGATTTGACTGCCGGCAAAATGCATCTGTGATTGAGAGATGACATGGATCGTGGATAGGCTGTATTGGGATAGGCGTGAGTTATTAAGGCTCACAAAGGCGATGAGCTTGCCCTCGAGAAAGCCGGCTTTGGGCCGAACAACAGCGGCCCCAGATACTTCGGGCGTCGACATGATGAGCCGCTCGAGCGCGTGACGGTCATCCGTCTCCTGGGGTGCGTGGATTTGTTGATGTGAGTGCAGTTTTTCGTCGCTACTCTTCCTCATTACGTCGCTGGACACCTCAGAGGCGTCACTGGCGAGGTCTCCCTCGTTAGATTCGAGCGGCTCTGCAGGGGCGAACGGGGTGGCACAGGTTTGAAGCTCAGCGAGGGTCTGGCAGCGGAGGATATCGCTCGTCTTGAGTCCGAGCCCAACGGACATGCACCGTTTCCGGAGTTCCTGGGCGGAGGTTTCGTTGCCGCCGAGATCTGTGAAAGAGTCGATGAGGTCGATGGAGTGTCTTGATATGTCGAGAACGTTGGAGACTGCTGAGAGAAGGCGGTCCTCGACAAGAAGCTCGGGGACAGGCTCCTCGCGATGGAGCTGCTCCTGAACCGGCGTGTTGACCACGCTGGTGTCAAGTCTGGGCAGCCGAAGCCTGGCGACTGATGCTTCTGTAGAGTCGAACATGGTGGCAAGTAGACAGGGCAACGCTGAATGTGGGGGTATCTCAAGAAAAGGACTTGCTGTGGTCAGACAAAGAGAGGAAATGGTTCTTCAAAAGTGGTCAAACATGGGCCAACCGGCGGTCTCGTCGGACGCCGTTGGTGGCTTGATATCAACCAGCTAAGAGGGGCCAGCGACAGAAAGGTGATGTGTAGTGTGGCGGGTGACTTGGGGTCCCAGTGTTATCGTTGGCTTGGTGTCGGTGAGGTGAGGAGGGACGGATATGAGAGTCCAAGGTGAGGTATCAACGACTATTAGGAACAAGAAAAAAACTTGCAAAAAGCTTACGCGGGGGCGGGATTGTAGATATCACCCACCCCCCAATACCCGCACAGCGACCTAGGTAGACTGACAGGGTCTGGGCATGCCCGACATTGTCCACTCGGGACATGGTGGTGCGGCTGGGCGAGGCGGACGGATCGAAAAGCAGGTCTCGTTGGACCCGTGGTGTGGCACAGAGAAGCGTAGGCTTGGGGGAAGGGGGGGGGGGGCCGAAGGGGGCGATGATGTCGTTACGCTGGACTATGTGCCTGGGTAGTCTCGTCAGTGGATACGCGGGATGCGGCCGCGGCTGCAGGCCCGCGTCACTCATCCTGGCAAGTTCTTGGCTAGGCCTGTCGGGATGCTGGGATCACCAGATGCGAGACCAGAGGGCTGGAAGCTTGATTGAGTGTCCAGAAGTGCCGATCGCTACGTCGAGAGGAAAAACCGTGAACATGTAGGTGGACGACGCGATGCTGAATATCGTCAAGGCACAGACGGTTGAACGGGATTGAGACCATCATCTTCATCAGGCCAACTCTTGGCCACTTGTAGGCCACTTGATGATATGAGGCGAATATAGATGGCCAGAATCTTGGATCGTGGATCTTGGGTCTTCTTTGGACATGCATCAGTGCCGATGTTGAGGCAACGGCCAGTGGGGAGTTGGGAACTGGGATGGCCAACCGGGAAACTAAGACTGGGACCAGGAACAATACAGGAACAGAAAAAGCTACAGCACACTGTACTTGACGCCATTGACGCCAAGTGCAAGAGCAACTTTTCCCGTGTCAGTACAGTGCGGGCTGGGGGGGAGGGGGGGCACAACGGCCGGGGCAGTGCAATGGGCGGCTATCTCCCCAAGGTTGCCAGGAATAGAAATAGCAACCAGCCCCACCGCCCATGCCACCCGTCGACTTAGGTAGGTAGGTAGGCAGCTTACCTGGCATGCCTCTTGGTGCCTTTTGCCCTACAGGCTCAGCTTTTCGACCCACGGTGGCAGCGGCTGTGACCATCACAGGGGGGTTCCAGCGTTAGATCAATATGAAGAATTCCGACAGCGGCCAACTGGGCTGAACAGGCCCTGTTCAGACGCAAGCAGGGTCTCTGTTAGACCCTGGATTCTTCACCTCTTTCCCGCCGGCACGATCGTCGTCCGACGACACTGATCAGAGTGGCGGAGCTCGCGATCCTAAGGAATCGGCTTTCTTCTTCGCATGCTTTACGCGGCAAGCGGCATCTCGTGAATCTCATTTTGGATCGGTCAAGGCGTCCCATCAGGCACCTATCTTAATCATGATGTTTTGGACCTGATCACCAGGTTATCCGTGTCATTATCTGGGTG